GCTTAAACTCAAGCTGGGCATGTGTGCGTGTGTGCCCAAGATCCCGAGAGGAGAATGGAGGAGAAGGGATTGTGGTGTGGTCATCCCTCCTGGGGTGGGGGGTGATTTCTCACTTTCTATCTCTCTGTCTCTCTTTCTGGCAAACACACATGCCTTATAGCAAAAACCTCTAAAAAATAAATAAATAAAAAAGAGGTTATTTAAGACTATACAAATGTATTCTTTTTGGCCCTGACTTTTATTTTTTCTTGATGTTTTAGAGGTAATATTTTTACAACTGCTATTTCTGAGTATTGAAAGTCAAGTGAATGGATGATTGCTCTGATACAAAGAACAAAGTGATTCTTCATGTTTATTAATCATGAATATTGGGACCAGCAGATGGCATAATGGCTAGGTCACTGGACTCCCACATAGTCTGCAGCAGTTCAAGTTCTAGACCTGGTGACTTAAAGCTCACACTCAGTACGTGTGCATGCATGCCCAAAATTCCAAGAGGAGAATGGAGAAGAAGGGACTGTGGTATGGTCATCCCCATGGGGGTGATTTCTCATTTTCTGTCTCTCCATCTCTCTCTGTCTCTCCAGCAAGTGCACGTGCCCTATAACAAAAATCTCTCTTTAAAAAAATCATTAGTATTAATGATAATATATTAAAAGAAGGTTTTGGGGACCAGCAAATGACATAATGGTTATGTTGCTGGGCTCCCACATGGCTGACAATGATTCTAGTCCCAGACAAGGTGACTTGAAACTCACACTGGGTGCTTCTCTGTACATGCCTAAAATCCCTGGAGGAAAATGGAGAAGGGATTGTGGCATGCCCATCTCCCTGGGGGGTGATTTCTTGCTTTCTGTATTCTGTCCCTCTCTATGTCTACAATGAGAACACATACCCTATAGCAAAAATATCTCTCAAAAAAGAAAAAGATGGTCCTTAACCTAAGATGGTCCTTAACCTAGAATGTTAGGATATATTACTTATTTTTGTAGAGTAATATTAAATTACTTGCATATTCTAAGTAAAGTCACAAAGATAGTGAAATTTTTAGATTAGATTCCTTTGGACGCTATTATAAGTTCCAAGCTAGTATGGAGTAGAATTATTATTTAATTTTATATTCTTTTAACTTTTCCTTCTAACACTCTCAATGTTAATCCTGCATTTTCTTGACGTTATTAAAGACATAGCAACTTTTCTCAGAGAGACTGAAAAATAACTTTTACAAAATGCTCACTATGAGACATAATTTTTCTTTATATAACATGATCTATTTTAAGGATAATTTTTTTCTACTTACTCAATCTTTATTTCCATATACTATCCTGTGGAAATTCTAATTGGGGATGAGTTAGATGACCTAAATGAATGTATAATATTATTCCTATTTTTATTTCTGACTTTGACATCAACTTACAACTGCAAACTGTGCTAAGATGATCTACTATTATTCGTTATTCAGAGTGATCCAGCAAGCATTGGCTAGACATGTCCAGTGTAATATAAAAAACATAAAATATACATCACCAGTTCTTCTACATCTTCTATCTTAAGTAGCATGGAGTTCATTTTCTTGCAGAGTTTCTTACTGTCTTCAAAGTTCTTCAATTCATGTGAAAAATAGTAACAATCCTCTCCACAACACGACCATTTCTTTTTGCATGTTCTGCTCTGGCTTCCTTGAAGACAAAGACATTTCCAGAGACCACTCAGTCTGTATCCTGAGAGGAAGACTCTGGGGACTCTGAGGAATCCTTTCCAGTTCTTCAAAAAGCACTTATTTTCTGAGGCTGATTCATTTCTACTTTGTAGAAAAACCCCTGATCTGGAGAGAGTTTCACATTCCTTATATCCCCCATAGCCTATGCAAGATATTAAAAATCTTTAAGAAAGATTTTAAACAAGATAACCAGTTTCAGAACAAGCAAATGGTGAAATGTCTTTGTTGCTGGACTCCCGCATAGTCAATTGTGGTTTGAGTCCCAGACCCTGCAGTTTAAAATTCATGTCGGGAGCATGTGTAAGCATGCCCAAGATCCTGTGAGAATGGAAGAGAAAGGATTGCGGCATAGCCATCCCCCTGAAGGGTGAGTTCTTGCTTTCTTTCTCTCTGTCTCTGCCTCTCTGGTGAGTGTGTGTACCCTATAGTAAAAATCTCTCTTAAAAAAAAAAAGATAACAAGTTTCTCTCATAACCTCTAACAGAAGAATTTTATTTAAGAAGAATTGTCTAGAGAAATTTCCTAACGAGTTGTATTTTCTCTCATAAACTACTGGAAATACTTTAAAATAAGAAGCATCACTTTTTAAAAACAGTCTTTTTCTCTTTTTTATTAAATTGTTTTATTTTAACTTTATTTAATTAATTTATTTTAATTTGACCAGAGAGGGACAGAGTGAAAGAATGAGAGAGAGAGTGAAAACGAGAAAGCAAGTTGCCAGGTCTGGGACTCAAACCACAGTTGGCCATGTGGAAGCCCAGCTCTCTTAACCACCACACCACCTGCCAGCCCCAGTAGCATCACTTCTATATTTTCTGGAATTCATAAAATCTATTGATATAGAGCAGATCTTAATTGAATAGGTAAAAACACACCCTGTAATGACTACATAATTAAGATGAAAAGACATAATAAAAGACTTCTGAAATTTTTTTCATGACAAAAGTATTATTCTGAGAAATTGTTATGTAAATAATGACATGCACAGAGCAAAGTTCCATCCTAGGAGTTAGTGACTAATCTTTTGTTTTTTAGAGGTTTTTGGTTAGGGTGTGTGTGCCCTCAGAGGAGTAAGAAAGAGAAATGGACAGTGAGAAGGAAAGTGAGAAGTCACCCCTTAGGGAGGTCACACCACAATCCCTTCTCCATTTTCCTACTGGGATCTTGGGCATGCATGCCCATGTATCTTGCATGATAGTCAAGCCATTGAGTCCAGGACTGGAACTGTGGTCAGCCATGTGGGAGTCCAGCAGTGTAACCACTATGCCATCTGCTGGCCTATGAGTTCATGACTTTTAAAAAACTAAGAATCAAAGTAGATCACACAATTAGCTTAATACATAAGAATGTCCAGTTTGTAGATCTATAGGAGATTGAGAGAAAGAAAGAAGAGACTTGCTTGTTTCAGTGTTGAACCCGTATGTACATACCCTGGTTAAATGGCTTCTGCATGAAGGTCATACTTCTCATTGTGGATGTGTCCTCTGCTGTTATGTTTATCAAAGGAGTCTTTAGTGTTTGGTCTTCTTGACAACCCTGTAAAACTTTCTTCACATAATTAACTTGAAGAAGACTTAAGATGTGACTTATCTAAGACATTATTCTAATATTTTAAATATTTTTATGTTTACTTATCTCTACCATGAATGAGAGACAAAGGCAGAGAGACAGAAAGACAGTATCCCCCAACAGGTTCCTAATGTAATGATCATCCCTAGCTTAAGATGGGATAAAATATTTGATAATAGTGGATTTTTTTTCAATGACTTGCCACCAAACACAGGTGTGAAAAATCACTTCTACCTCAAAGCCAAAATGGGAAAGAAGAAGAGTCATATTAACATTCTTATCATTAGATGTGTAGAATCAGGCAAGGCCACCACTGCTTGCCATCTGATCTACAAGTGTGGGGAGAATGACAAAAAAAAAAAAAAAATCACGAAAAAATTTGACAATGAACCTGCTGAGATGAGAAAGGGCTCCTTTGTGTATGTTTGGATCTTGAATAAACTGAAAGCTATTTGTGAGTGTGATCTCACCATTGATATTTCCCTTTCAAAATTTGTGGGACCAGCAGTTGGCGTAATGGCTATGTCACTAAACTCCTGTGGAGTCGACTGCAGTTCAAGTCCCGGACCCAGTGGCTTAACTCATGCCAGGCACATATGTGTGCATGCCCCAGATCCTGAGAGGAGAATAGAGGAGAATGGATTGTGGCATGACCATTCCCCCTGGATGGTGATTTCTCACTTTCTGTCTCTCTGTCTCTCTCTGTCTTTCTGGCAAGTGCACACGTCCTACAGCAAAAACCTCTCTCAAAATAAAGAAAAGAAAAAAAAAAAAAAAGAAATTTGAGTCCAGCAAATATATGGGACTATCACTGATGTCCCATGACACAGAGACTTTGTCAAAAACATGATTACAGGCATCCTTCTTTCTTTAAGAGTGATTTTTAAAAATTTTTATATTTTCTTATTCAGATTTAATTATTGCACATCTGTATAGCACACGCAATAATGTTTTTTAAAGTATTCATGCAGTATTTGACAATCAAGACTATGTCTGATTGAAATTATCAGTTACATTTTTGCAGAAATAGAAAAAAAATTGGAATAAATATGTCTGGATTCATGAAAGGCCTTGAGTCGCCAAGGCGATACTGTGTAAAAAGGATAAAGTTGGAGTCATCTCCTTATCTGACCTCAAAATATACGACAAAACTGTGACAATCAAAACAGCATGCTAGTGGTGCAAAAACAGACATAGACCAAAGAAACAAGTAGAATATCCAAAAATAAACCCCAAATCATAGACCAACTGATCTTTGACAAGGGACAAAACATCATGACTAGAATAAAAGAAAGGTTTTTTTTTAGCAAATGGTGATAACAAAACTAGATTTCAATCTGCTGAAAAAGGAAACTGGACTCCTATCTCTTGTTATTAACAAAAATCAACTCAACGTGGATTGAAGATTTAGATGTAAAACTCATAGTATAAAACTACTGCTAGGAAACACAGGGGAAAATCTTGAAAACAGGGAGTAGGCCAAAATTTCTTAAATAAGACCCCTAACGCATAGGCAATAATCCCAAATATGCATGAGAAGGACCACATTAAACAAATAACATGCATACAGTGAATGAAAGAGTAGAGTGAAGAGGTTACCCTCAGAATGGAGGAAAGTATGTGCGAGCTATACTTCAGATAAGGAATTGATAACTAAAATATGCAACAAATAGCACATCTCAAGCTGACTGTGCTATCATGATGGTTGCTGCTGGTGTTGGTGTGGTTGGTATTGCCAAGAATGGGTAGTCCTGTGGTCATTCCCTACTGACTTCCACACTGTGAAAAACGAAGTGCTGGCTTTAATGAAATGGATTCTACTGCACCATCCTGCAGTCAGAAGAGATACAAATAAATTGTTAAGGAAGTCAGCACCTATGTGAAGAAAATTGCCAATTTCTGGTTGGAATGATGACAAACATGCTGGAGCCAACTGTGAACATACTTTGTTTCAAGAAACGGAAAGTCATCTATAAAGATGCTTGAAACACTGCTTGTAGCACTGGAATGGATCCTACAACCAACTTGCCCATCAGAGAAGCTGTTTCATCTGCCCTTCCAAGAGTATACAAAACTGATAATATTTGCACTCTCTGTGGGCTGAGTGGAGACTGGAATTTTCAAACTCAGTATGCTAGTCATCTTTGCTCCAGTCAACCTGACATCTGAAGTAAAATATATTGAAATGCACCATGAAGTTTTGAGAAACTCTAACTTGCCACAAAAGACTAGATATTATAATCTTGCATTTTCATGAAACATTCAGAATAGGAAAACCTACAGTTATAGAAAGTTTACTAATGGTTTTTCAGTGCTGGAATGGTTGGAAGGAAATGGGGAGCAATTGTTAATGGGAAGGAAGTTTCTTTTTGGATGATGAAAATGTTCTAATATTGATTGTAGTTACGGTTGTACAACTATGTCAACATACTTGTAGCCATTGATATTACATTTTCGATGTGTCTCTTTTATGCTCATGATATTATTAATATTACCTCAGTAATACAAATATATGTGTATATATAATTGTGTGTGTGTGTCTGTGTGTGTGTGTGTCTGTGTGTGTGTGTGGAGTGTCAAAATTTCACTTCCACTTAATTCAAAAAGCTTGATCTGCAAACCAAGAAGGTTGGGATCCAGGCTTAGATAATTCATCAAACAGAATGAAGTACTTATAAATAAATATATTCACTGAGAACAGAATATATTCCATGGACTGCAACTGACTGTAAGTAACTTCCTTTGATGAAAGACTTGTTAATTTTTGATCTATTTTTGAATAACATACTGTGTCTAATAGGAAAGGAGTAATTCTCAACTCAATTCTATCTCCAGGGGACTTTTGCTATGTTTGGAGACATTCTGGATGTATCTACAACCCTCTGAGGAGTAGAGTAGAAGTACGCTGCAGAGCACTGCACAAGCACAGGTAACTTTCCAATGAAGAATCATTTTGCCCAATTTCAACAGGGCTGAGACGGAAAATCTTGATCTAGATGAAGAACATTTCAGGCTGAAAATAATAGAAGGCTACAAACTGGGTTTGAGACAGATTACTAAAATACGCATAGAGTATTAGAAAACAAAACAAACAAAACAAAACAAAACAACAAACAAACAAACAAAAAACAGAGAGGAATTAAGTTCTTGAGGGGTGACTGTGATTTCCCCAGGCAGTGACGGCTGTGTAAGGAAGACTGCCAAGATGGAGGAATAACATCTACATTAGTGTAGGGACAGAAGTTCAGAGAACTCATAGGGGAAAGCAAGTGATTCAGAATACTTTAGGACCAGCAGTTAGCATAATGGCTATGTCGATGGACTCCCACGTAGTCGACCGTGGTTCTTGTCCCGGACCATGTGTCTTAAAATTTACAC